TTCAAGACTAACGTTGTTCAAAGAGATGGGACCTCTGAAAACAACGTCCGCTTTGCATGACGAAGAAGATATAATAATATAGCGAGTTCAAGCTGCAAGCCAAACTTGATCAAGCGACCCGATCAGGAAATCTTACCCCAGAATTAAAAAAAATAATTATTTAGAGTATTGCCTCACCACACGGTTCTTATGAATCTAAATGTATATTTTGTTTTAATTCCATGTACGTAGTCCCTGAGTGGAAGTGGCCTAATCTGCAACATGTAGGGGCCGATAATAATAGATTACCTTGGCTCGAAACCGCAGAAGGACATGCACGAGATGGTTGCTCGGGTTGTTTTCATAATTTAATTGCCCACCGCCTTCATGTATTTGTGTGAGTCCTATCGGAGGTGGACACGAAATCAGACTAGGCTAAATTCAAACTTTTGAACAACCTTTCAGTGTTGAAAAAGGTTTAAATCTATATCATTGCCTGTGAGCTACAAGTAGATATATACGCGTCCACGTTCCATGCTTATGGAAAAATAATTGATTCTTATGACAAGATGTAACAAAAAATACACAGACACAACAGAAATATTACAAAAGTAACAAAACAACGATAGTGCGGTCAAAAATGCGTGGCCCAACTTATTGTCAAATATCTTTTTCGAACATAGGTTCTCTAACTTTTGCACAATAACTTATACCAATTCATCTCAACAGGTGAATATTTTTTTCAAACTCCTGCGCACTGTATTCTAGAAAATTCCTTAATAAATGCTAATAAAAAATCCCTGTTGATGGTTTCTTCAGACTTTAAAAAGTTTACAGCTCTGGCAATATCTCTTTTAAAAGCAAGTCTGTCATTTTTTTCCTACTCGCAACATTATGCATATTGAACGTATGTTTGGGGAACCTTTAGTGCCAAAAATGTGTTCACTATAACATTAATTTCTTGTGAGAAGTTTTGCCACTAAAAAGTGTCATCGGCGAGCTGTGACGTAGGCCATATGCGTATGCAAAATGTGAGCGAGAAGCTGGAAGTGCTGTGAACAATCATAGGCTATTTTACGCGTGATGGAGATTTTATAGTATTTTATATAAATTTATTAAGAACTGTTTTTTAATCGAGCCTCAGTTGTTGTGGGAACATGTGATTAAGTTAAGACAAATTGATACAAACTGATGTGCAAAGTATGGGTGACATTGATTCACCCGTTAAAGAGATATTTGATGATAAGTTGGGCTATGAATTTTTGACCGCACTATAGGACGATAAGGAGGATATCTAAAGACATGATGGAAAGTCATAATGTGAATGCCTCATTGTTCCTATTTTTGGCTGAAATGGGCATAGTGATATCTGGATAGCAGCCAACAACATCATAGACCAGACCTTCTTGTGTTATACGAGAGAATAT